GGAGGTCGCATGAAAGCCTCCGGTCTCCCCACTGTTGGGAACAGCAAGGTGCGCGCATTTCCTATCGGTCAAGGGCACAACACCAAAGGGAGCTGGGTGTAAGGCTGCAGGCTAGGAGAGAAGACGCCAGCAGCAAGCAGCAAGCAAGAGCTGGACCACCTGCTATAAGGAAGGTCCTGCAAAGCCCTCTGAAGACCTCACACCTGCCACGGCGGGGGCAGAGTGGTTGCAGAGTGGTCGGGGGAGCCAGAGCGGCAGTGGCAACTGCCAAAGAGAGGGATCCAGTGGAGGAAAAGAGTCATTTGCCCTTCTCCCCATCCCGTATCCTTGTTTCCTACCCCTGGAAAGATGGATCCGGAAAAAATAAGAGGACAGAGTATCTCAGAGCCAGTCCCCACCACCCCCTCGCCATGCCGTGGTAAGGGAAAAAGAGAGTAGACCATAGCCCTGTCCCACTGCGGGTACCTGGAGCCATGCATCAAGCCTGGACTAGACGGAAGGGAGACGAGATTTCAATCGAGTTGACAGCCAAAATTTTTAATCAAACTGGACTTTTAATACCTGAAAGTGCATCTTCCTAAGATTTCATTAAGGGATGAGAAAGAGGGATTTGACAAGGCCTGGCTGGACCAGTGATTGGTATGCCTCACTGAGCTGAGACTTCTCAATAAATCTGTGTCTCTCAGAGGCCCCAATCTCCCAGATCCCCCAAGACGGGGCAATACGCGTAGACATCCAGGCCATGATTACCAAGGAGCTACCCTAGCCAAATCCAGGCTGACCTAACGGGAATTCTATGCCGTGTCAGAGTCAGGGCTAGCCCGAGCTGATTTACCCCGAGAGAAAGTTCTCCAAACCCTGATCAGGCTGACTTCCCTGGGATCCCGTGAGTGGCATGATCAAGGGTGACAGCAGCATCGTGGGGAACTGGGGGAACCTGCACGGTGAGATCGCTGGGAATATAAGATCGTCGTGGAAGATGAGCAAGAGGCCTACGTCATGCCACCAGCATTCAAACAGCACTTCTGTCCTTGTGCCAACGCTGATTTTGCTGGCCTCTCTCAGCACCTATAGCTGCATAGGGGACGGAAAAGGGATGCCTGTGTTGGCAGCAGCGGGGAGGGCACGATTTAAAGCCCACCTCTGACATCCCGTATTAGTTTCCTCTTGCTGCTGTAACAAATTATCACAAATTTAGTGCCTTAAAACAACACAAGTTTATTCTTTTACAGTTCTAGAGGTCAGAAGTCTGAAATACATTTTTGCAGCACTAAAATCAAGGTGTCACCACGGCCAGTTACCAGTGAAGACTCCAGGGGAGAATCCATCACTTGTCACTTCTCACTCCTAGAGGCTGCTGGCGTTCCTCGGCTCCTGGTGCATCCCCCCGGGCTCTGGCTTCTGTGGCAGCATCTCCAGCTTCCTCTGTCCTGACTCCCCCATATCCCTCTTACAACCACTATGGCGATTGCATAATTTGGGATAATCTCCCCACCTCAGGATTCTTAATTATATCTGCAAAGTCCCTTTTGCCATATTAGGGAATATTTATTGGTTCTAGGAATTAGGACGTGGACATATTTGGGGGCCATGATTCAACTTGTCACAATCCCACAGGCTTCCACACTCTGCCTGGCAGCCCCACTAGTATTATGATCAAGGAAACAGGAGCTGAAAGGACGTATACCCAAGACCACGTGGCCTTCTGTGCCTATCCTCTGCAGGATCAGCCTCCTGCACCAGCCTCCAGCCTCAGGATTAGAAACAAGACATGAAACCATTCTGTCTTACACTTATGCGCTAACAAGACCCAGGGGACAGGAGCTGAGCCAGTTCAAACTTGCTTATTTTACAAATCGTGTTTTCAAATTTTCAAAATCCTCCCTGCATAGGACGTCACCAGAGTTACAAGACAACTCTTCCAAGAAGCCTCCCAGAACCTCTTCATCCAAAGGTCTCCTGCCTTTCAAAACTGTCACTTTGAGGAACCTGTTCCAACAGATGTCTATGAACTTGGCAGAGGAGTGATCAAAGATTAAGTCGTCCTTCTGAAGAAGCCATCCCGCCCAGAGTCACCAGGGGGCGGGGGACAGGGTTTGCCAGAGAATCTAAGCAGTACAGCACCTCACCAGAGGAACCCATGGTAGGGGCCACTAGGGTATGCAAGAGGCCACCTGGATATGATTATTTAAAGAGACAAGCTGCATGACCAGTGCTAAAACCATTTCTGAAGGAACTTTCCAGAGAGCTAGAAAGCTATCCTGTGACTATTAAATTAGTAAACAGATGAGGTGGTTTGTTTTTCTCCTGCGCCAGAAAAAAAAAAACAAGGGGCAAGTTGTAATTCGGGGGACAATTGACACAGGACTCATCCTCAAGGTGTCAGGATAAAGTTCGAAAAGTTCTCAAATAGTTCAGCCTGGAAGAGAGTTGGAACAGCAGCTACTGTCGTCCCTGGGAAGATCAAGGTCCCTTAGGAAAGGGCTGGAGCAAGAGGAAGCTTCCAGGGCCTGTGAGACAGGAAGAAGGGAGCCTTTGCAGCTGTCTGGGTGAGGGGAGCAGTGAACTCCTCCAGGGATGGTCAAGAACGCGTCAAAAACAAGGAATCGCCAGTCTCATACATCGTTCTGCAATCTATCGCCATCAGTTGTGGGCAGTGAACGTAAGAGTTTAAGTTTTGGCTGGCTTAATAAAGAAAATATATTTTTTATTAATTAGTTAGAACATCTCATGCTCCTTACAGCTCAGCCTCGCAGGTCTATTAGTTTTCTGCCAACCTCTGCTGGCAGCACTTAGGAGGCCAAGGACGGTATTAGAGAACAGATACTGTGAGCCCCGCCCAAGCGCTAAAATCACCAGACACCTCAGAAGGGCGTTTGTGCATCAAACCCAGGCTGACCCTAAGAGATAACCAGTGTCCAACCCACGGGCAGGGCCCAGGACTGACCTACCCTTCACTAGAACATTCTCTCAGGGCCCACAGTGAGATGAGCCTGGCCACACCCACCCTCACCTGCAGGAACCTCCCCTGAGAAGACAGAGCCCCGTCTCCTTCCATCCTCCGCAGCGCCTGCTCTCCTCGGCTGATACCTCTCGAGCGCCCCCTGCAGCCCCGAGGCCCCAAATACAGGCGCTGAGCTCCCTTCCAACCTCTAATGCCAACAAGCCGCAGCAACGGCAGAAAGCTGACATTTATTGTGCACTTATTAGGCGCCAGGCACTGTTTTGTTTTGTTTTACTTTTTTCCACTTCACAATGGATTAACTCCTCCAAACAATTCTTTGAGACAGATACTATTAATACCTCCTCTTACAGATGTGGAAACTGAGATGTGATGCTGAGATGTTTGTGTGACACAGTAACGCAGCGGTGGAGCTGGGAATCGAACGGCGGGTGGCGTGAATGATGAAGACCACTGGTCCCAAGTCTCCATTCGTGACCTCATGTGCACACGGCCCCGATACATGGAAAGGGCACCGCCGCAGGCGCACAGATATGGGAAAATCTGAAAGAGGTCAGTGAGTGATTCAAGCTGGGCAAACGCTGCCCTTGGCCAGAGGTCAACTGACTGCCTCAAAGCACATTTCAATTTTATAGGGTGAAAGAAGGAAAAAAGAAACATTGTGCCTTGAAGCCTCAGCCCCATTTGACCAGGAACGAATCTCTGAAGCCCTCGTCGCCTATTTCAGATCCGCTGACGGGACGGAAATGTAAGTCTCCAGCCTTTTACCTCAACACTCACTCGCTGGCCAGAGAAACCCTAAAATCATCCCGAAAATACTTAGCAAAAGAAATCTATTAAAATGTAATTATGGGGCAGCATCAATAAAACGGGTTAATGGGGGAGAAGATGTATCTCGCCGACCAGTTCTGTGTGAGTCACAGAATTCATGGGGCACTGGAGCCAAAAGAGGCCTTAAAGACACTAAGTCCAAGAGAGAGAAACGAGAAGCAGAGAGTCTGATTAATTTATCCCAGGGTGTATATCTTCATTCATGCGTGCATGCTTATTTAACAGGCATCTAAGCCCTTAAGTGCCAGGCCCTTTGCTCGACCCTGAGAGTACACAGGCCACCGAGCCGTGTGTGTGAGAAGCTATGTCTGCAGGGAGGGGTTGCCTTGTTTTAATTCACACAAGACATTATATGGGACCAGCAGCAGCCCTTGAGCCCTTGGACACAACACTAAGATGTGCTCTGCCTTAGATGTGGGGCTGAAACTGCTTGGCTGAATCCAGGCTGCAAACATATTTGTCTGGCTTTCAATGCTTTAAAAGCTGGGAGATTTTATAAGAAATCTGGATGATCTAGCTATCTTGAAAAAGAGGAAGATCTGGCAATCTTGGGCTTGCGCGCCCACTTAGCAATGATCTGCTGGAATTGAGTAGAGGCTGCTCTTAACAGACGAGCGTGCGTTCTCCACTTTGCCATGGTCTCTGTCACTCCCTGTTGTCTCTTAGGCAATGCCAGCTACACTCCCTTGTTTGAGTCTGCCCTGTAGGCAAATAAGGGTGCAATGCACGAGCTGGGTCCTCCCAAGTTGGTTGGAAAAGACAGAAGTCTAAAGAGAGGACTGCAAAACAATGAGATGTGTGATGACAAAAGTAAACTGAGAATACTTATTTAGTGGCCAAGCCAGGGCCAAAACCTGGCTCTGCCCAGTCACTGTGTCCTGGCCTGCGGCAGCCCAGCCTCTACTGTGCACATGCAGGTAGCATTCTAGTCTGAAAGACAGGGTCCACAAGAGCCCCAAGTCATTGCCAGTACATGCTATCCATAGTGCTATCAGACCCTGCTCGGGATTCAGAGAGAACCCAAGGGATTTGGACCATCCTTACAGCTAACCCAACCAGAAATACCATTGGCTGGAGGTAGGAGAGAAAGTTAAATTCATGGTGTAGGATTAACATTGATCATACCACATCTTAGGTGGTCTAGAATAATCCTGCTAAGCAAACAGAGGAATGTCCACCACTCCCCTTCCCCTCCCTATTACCTTACCTGCAGGAGCTGAGAGTGCGAGAAGAGCATCCACGTCAGCAACCACCAGGGGCTCTTCAGGGAAGCCATGGGGTCCGGTCTCCTGGGGGTCTCACCTAAAGCCTACAAAAGAAGAAACAATTGGTTTCCAACCAGCTCCGGCCCCAGTGGCAGTACCCGTGACTTGAAAGATCAATCAGAGAAGGGGACCTTGAAGCCCAGACAATGTCCTGGAAAGGTTTGTGTTGTTGGCTGAGGAAGGGGCTGCCCACTGCCAGGGTGCAGCTATCTGGGGCTCCCTTAGGAGGTCCGCATCAAGGTCAGCAGGGGGCTGGACCGTCTCCCGTGGGCAGCTCACACCTCCGGTCCTCCAGAAGCTGAGACACCCTGCACCAGCCACCTCCCAGCCCATCTGTCAGCAGTGAGGTGTGGCCATTGGCATCTGGCTAAGGAAGCCAGCAGCGAGCCAAGGTTAGGGCACCTGCCAGCTTCTACTGCTTGAGGCAAAAATGAGTCTAAGACCAACCAAGCCAGTCCAGACAGGGAAAAGACCTGCCTAAGGGCACACAGCAAAATGGTGACTTTCTAGGACCGGAACACAGGTCTTCCGATAGTCCAAGGCTTCCCCCACCAGATGACACCGCGCGCCCCCCGGGTCCCAGACCCGCAGCCAGGGAGGCCTGAGGGCTGAATGGAGGGATGGACGTTTGCGAGGAGCAGCCCCGGGGCCTCAGAGCAGACGAGGGCAACGCAGAGGTCAGCCGAGACCAGGAGGGCAGCGGGGGCTTTCTCTGGGTTTTTCTGTCAATTCACAGGGAAATCAGCGGGAGTCCAGACTGGAAAAGCCGAGGTCACACTCAGCGCTCGCTTCGCCTCGAGGGCGCCTTGGCGGAGCCGGTGTCCGGGGGCGGGTCGGTGGCTTCTCTCCATCTGGAGAAAGCATTAAGGGCCTGGCCTAATGCGATCCGCAAATGTGCTGCTGTTTCCGACCTGAGGCGGCGACTCTCGGCTGAAGGGAGGCGGCCGGTGCCAGGCCCTGGGCTGCGCGCCCCTCGCTCCCGCGCCGCCTTCCCAGCACGCACCGGCGACACCGCCCCGCGTCCCGCCGCGCCCCGGTCCCCTCGCGCCCCCGTCCCACCGCGCGGCACCTCGGCCCGCGACGCTCCAGGCGCTGGCGACCCCGTTGCCGACTGGCCGGACCTTCGGACGCTCGAAGTTTTCTGCCTAGAAACCCCCCATCCGAAAAGCCCGACCCTGTGGAGTCCCCACCCCATAAGCAAGAAGGCCCGCAGCCCGCGAACAGCCCCGAAAGACTCTCCCCGAATCCTCCCGGACCCCACGGAGCGCGCCCGCGCCGAGGTGTCCAAACCCCACGGAGAGTCCCCGGCCTGAGGCCCCCCCGGCGCCGCCCACCCCGCTCGAGCCCCCGACCTGCTGAGCGAGGCCACTGCCCGGCGTCTGACCCCCCCTGGGGAGAGGCCCCTCGCCCCGCCCGCTGCACCCACCTTGCGTCGCGGAAGCTTCTCGGACGCGCAGCCGCGGGGCCGTGCGGCTCGGCGCGCGCTGGGGCGAGGCTGGCAGAAGCGGCGCCGTCAACACCTCGTGCAGAATCTGGGCCCGGGACCTTCCCCGACGCCGGCCTCCCGCCCGCGGCGCCGCGAAGTTAAATGGGGCTGGGACGGGGGCCGCCCCGCCCGTCCCGCCCCCTCCAGGCGCGCGGAGCGCAGCGCTGGCCGCGGCCCAGAGGCGGAGGGCGCGCGCCGCCACCTGCACCGCCCGGCAAGTGCACGGCGCGCCGGACGCCCGTCCGTCCGCGCGCAGGCGCCGCCCGAGCCGGGGGCACCCGGGGCGCGAGGAGACCGGGCGAGAGGCCGGGCCCGGGCCGCTCGGAGCGCGCGGGGCCGCGGCGACGGCGAGACTCGGCTGGAACGCTCCTCCGCCCGCTTCCTGGAAGCCACTCCTCGCCCTGGGCCGGCCGCCAGGCGCTGTGCCAAGAGCCGGGATTGCCGACGCCGCCACGGCCGCCGCCGCCGGCAGGCGCGCTGGGGAAAGGGCCGCCCCGCCTCGGCCGGAGCCGGAGTGGGGATGCCGTCGCCCCCGCCGCCGCCCCTCCCGTGGCCTCCACCGCCCCGCCCGGGCCGGGCGCCGAGCGTGCGCGGCCGGGCCCGGGGGCCACGCGGGGGCTTGCCCGGAACCGCTGGCTCGTGCCCGACAGCCTCGGGCGCTCCCGGCCGGCGAGACCAAAGTCGGAGAGCGGCGGCCCCTCGCGGCCCGAGCCGCCTCCGCCTCCCGGGCCCTAGCGCAGGGGGTACGAGGGCCGGGGCGCTTCGGAGTCCGGCTGCCGGGCCCGGGGCGGGCTGGGAGGGGCCTCTGAAGCGGCGCCTCGCGCCCCCGGCATGAGCGGGCTCGGGAGCGGAGAGCCCCGCCGCCGCCGCCGCGGGACAATGCAGCGCCCCGGCCTGGGACCCGGGGTGGGGTAGCGCGTGAGGGGCAGGAGTGGCCTGTGGGCTTCTGGAGGTGGAGAGAAGTCGGGGACAGTGTGTCGCTGGCCTCTGCCCAATCCCGCCGCACAGGCCAAAGAAGAGGGGATTCCCTGCGAAGGCTGCGCCCCGCCACGCCTGAGCGCTCCATCTGCTGAGTCTCCTCGCTCGCGTGACTGCTCGGGCCTGCGGCAGACGTCAGCGGCATCCCCCGTTCCGCCGCGAGGAAGCCGGGCTTGGGGGACAGACAGCTCGCCCACGGCGAGTGGAGAAGCCGGGGCTGGAACCCGTATCTGCGTCTCTCTCGAGTCTGACTCTCTCACCCCCAGAGTTGCGCTCGCGCCCTCTCTGGCTGGTGTTCACACCTTCAAGACACTGCTGGAGCTTGGCCGAGGTGGCGCCGCCGGTCTTCCTCTCCTGTGCGTCCCTTCCTGCTCTGGTGGCCTCTGGCCTGGAGGCGCATCTCTGCGACGTCGCTGCACTCCAGGTGAAAGGGCCGTTGCGTGGGGAGAGCCAGCGGGGGACAGGTCAGTGGGAAGCAGGGGAGGGGAGCTGGCCAGTAAGGGACAGAGGCCTGGGCTAAGCCAGAACTCACCCACCCAGGTCAGTCTACACAGTCGTGTTCTGCAAAGCGGCGGGAACAGTGACTTGTGAGTACTGAGCCATTGCTCCCGGGACAAATACGGTCAGGTTCCTGGAGGCCTCTGCTCACATCCTTCTGTCAACCATTCAACACACTGCGTTATTTTAGGTGTGTTTCTACCTAAAGACGCCTTAGTTAACATACATGGTTGATTCCTTAACACTGAGCCCTTACCCAACGCTACAGCTCATGCCTGAATGAACCTTATCTTCTTCAGCTCAGGAACACTAGACTGCACTTCAGCACTGTGCTTTGGGGCCATTTTAAATAGTGAAATCATCAACAAAAGACAAAAATGTGAAAACATGGCAATAAAGAGACCTGTGGGACACTTGTTCACAGAATGAAAGCTGAAAGACAAAGGCAGAGAGACCATTGACTTGTTCGACCTAAGCTGGGAACAGGCAGCTCAAAATTTTTACCACTTGTCAAATGGTTTTAAAAGTGTTACAAGTATTAATTATGGGGTTGCAAATAAATTTTGGTGAGTAGGTGAATTCACAAATAGGGAATCAGGCCAGGTGCTGTGGCCTACATCCGTAATCCCACTTTGGGAGGCCAAGGAGGGAGGATTGCTTGCACCCAGGAGTTTAAGAGTAGCCTGGACAACATAGCAAGACCCTGTTCCTACAAAAAATTTAAAAACTAGCCAGACATGGTGGCACATGCCCATAGCCCTAGCTACTCAGGAGACTGAGGTGGGAGGTTGGCTTGAGCCCAGGAGTTTGAGGTTACAGTGAGCTATGTTTGGGCCACTGCACTCCAGCCTGAGTGAGAGAGCGAGACTCTGTAACAAAAAAGAAAAAGAAATAAACGAATAGAAAATCTGCAAGTAATGAAGATTGATTGAATGTGCTTCTCCTATCAGGGTATTAGTAGAGGAGTAGCCGTGTTAATATTTCAAAGCATGCATGTTTAAACACCGCATGTTCTTAGCAACTAGACTATACCACTTCTCACATCATTCATATTCTAAAACTAGCCCTAAGGTATTGTGAAGTCAGTTGCAAAATTCACATGAATATTCAAGATGAAATGGAGAATTCAAAGGAATATTATGCTTGTGCAGTGGCAGCTGCACTGAGCGAGCTCCCGGGGTCTGCAGCTCAGGAAGGCACTGAGAATGTCTCTGACCATGGGGGACGTGGTTGGGAACATTTGAGCTGATCTCCTCTGAAGTATTAATGGCTCAAGCAGGACTCATTTTCCGGTGGGCACTTTTTATTCCCAGCCAGCCTCCAGGGAGTGCCCCACACTAAGTACTGCGGCCAGGGCTGGGCCCTTCTCTCCCACGGGCTCCAGCCAGCATCAGGCCAGCCCCTCAAAGAGCAGTTATTCCGGAGCAAAAAGCAGAAGAGAAAACATCACCAATACCCTTACGGAACTTCTACCTTCCTGTTAACCCCAGCAGGTCGAGCAATCCTACACATGTGGCTACGGTACCATGAGTTAAGATAACAAAAAGCCACAGAGGACAGACTCCACCGGCTCAACCTCACAGGTGTTGTCCCCAGATTCATGGCCGCACCGCCCCTCTAGTATTCTCTTTTACTGCTCTACCCCAGTAGAGACACCAAACTGTCCCCCGGTTACTCACCTAGTGTTCCCTCCCACCCTTCGCTGCTCCCCTGAGGCCTGGCCCAAATATCTAAGCAAGACGTTGCTAACGGCATGGGGGTGGGGGGAGATTGGGGGATGAGAAGAACAGGAATGCATGAACCCAAAAGAGCCAATCTGGCTGATCTGGCTATGGGGTGTGGGTACCCACCCAATCTATTTTGGGAGGGGGTCGGTTCACAGCTCTCCCTGCCTAGCTCCTGGGCAGCCTAGCTGTGAGAACCCCCACCACCTGGGGCCAGTGGTGGTGCATTTTGACTCTGAGAGGTCTGGGAAACCAAGTTCCATTTCCTCCCTAAGATTCATCTTCTTAGGTTCCTGGTTTCCACTCCCTGTCTCAGGACCCGCTTCTTCCTGGATAAATTAAAGAGATTCCTTACCCCTCCTCCCAGGATTGCCTGTTGACCTCAACCTGACAAGCACATTAGTCCATTGGCACAAGAGATTTACATAGAAGATGAGGGAGCTAACTGTGGGTGATAGTGGTGTTGGGGTATGTGTGTGTTTACCCTTAGAGAGAAGGAATTATCAGTTCAGGGCATCAGCTTTAATTTGTCCTTGATATAGAATTGCTCTTTCTGGTTGCAGGACTGTGACGCGGACTTGGAGAACAAACTCAAGAAGACTGTGTCGGAGGCTTGGAGGAAAAGAGCGCCTGGAGGCAGGTGCGCCAACAGAAGGTACAGTCGACTGCAGTGGGTGCCAAAGATAAACTCTCAGCCAAGGGCACCAGGAGATGACAGACCAGGATGTTGGGTGAGTATGGCAGCTGAGGGGTGGAAGATTACATGGGAGTGAGGGCAGCAGGATAAGGAAGGGGCAAGAGTGGAGCAAGCTGCGGCTCAGGTCAAGATCCTCGGGGACTCGGGAGCAGAAACCACCCGTCGATTTGAAGCAGCAGGGCTGGGCAGTTGTACCGCACGCCAGTGCAGCACTGGCTCCTCTGGAGCCGGAGGGTGGTGCAACCTCCGAGGCAGCTCCCACAAGCCAAGGACAGCGCTCCAGGAAGGCACTGGGTGTAAGCCCTTAGCTACTACACTCACACGTGCTGGGGGACAGCTGCACCTGCCAGGTAAGGGGATCGCTGTCGGGCGTCCTCACCAGTGGTGTCTCCCACACATAGCTTTTCAGGGCGTGTCCCCGGCCCCGCACGGGAATCATGCTCAGCTAGGGCCGATGGTTTTCTGACCATCCAGACTGAGGTCCTTCTCCTGAACAGAAATTTGCTTTATAAAGTTTGTTCAAATCTTTGTCTGGTTGCTGTTCTGCCTCATAAGCAAAAAGAGCCCTTGCGAGGAGCCGTCCCGACAGGACGAGTTTCCCCCTGGTGAGGGGCTGTGTGCTCTGCACACCTTGCGTCTTGCTTTGTCCCCTCGGCCTGCACTGAGAGCCCCAGGGAGTTCTTAAGGAGCCGCAGAGGTGCCCAGATTCACGATTTCAGGTCAGGAGCTTAGGAACGAGGACTGCTGCAGCACCGGTGGTCTGATCCAGTCAGAATCTCTGGGTGGGGTTGGGGTTAGACAGTCTCTTTCTGGAAAGTTCCAAATCTTGAGGATGGAGCAGGGAGAGCTGGAGTCTCCTAAAGTTCTGTGAAGGACAGAGTCAGGATTTGGTGACCCTTCCCAGGGCCAGCGAACTTCCAGGTCCCAAACCCAAGGCTGATTTCCATCTGGCCTTGAGGGCTGGGAGGCGCTGACCTTCCTTAGCTTTGTGTGCGTCCCATGCCCCGATAATCCCGCACGTGTACACCTACCTGTGTCCATACAGACTCCGTGCTGGAGCGTGAACGAAACACAGATGCTCTGGGAAGAATACATTTGCCGGTGCTCTTGAACCCGCTTCATTCTGCCCTTGACAAAACCCTTGTCTTCTTCCCCTCAGAGGCACAAGGTGAGTAGCGAGTGCTGGAGCCACAATCAGGAAACTTAGTTGTGGTCC